AGTATCAAAGATACACAATAAGGGTGTAGACTGTTAAATGGAAAGATTGTAACTCAGCCCACAAACTTGAAACCAGAAGCCAGGAAATAAAATATAGAAAGAAGAATTTTGGCTAAGAAACAGAGTGAGAAGGGGAGCTAAGGGTCAGAATTGAGAACAACCAGCAATTTATTAAGCTGCAGAGCAAAGCTAGAGCTCAGCAAGGCTCCATACCATACATTTAGATCTGAGATGAGAAGCTGCTAGAACTTGAACTAAACCAACTGTGGCCACTCAATGTCCAGAGATGATGGCTAAATGAACTAGAAAAAAACCAAAGGAATAAATTTGTAGCCAGGGGTGACRTTATCCAAGCACACACTGAAAGAGCTTCGCATGCCTGATTGCTACAGCATTTCTACCCAGGATTTTATGTGGGTCACCAGCCTTCTGGGAGGCTGCCTGTGGTAGGCTGGTGGCTTTTTGCACTGTGATTGCTCTGGAATGCTTGTCAAAACACTGTCAGGAAAGCCACCGAATTATACATTTGAGCTCAGATCTCTGTGACTTTTGATGGGACTGACTGACCTTTGTGCTTTTGAAAATCCACCCCTTGCTCTCTGCAAAGTGGTGGCTTCCCATGTGGTCTGTTGTGTTTACATCTGAGAGTGTTTGGTGTTTCTGTGACCTCTTCTCACTCATTATCACTTCACTTAATGTCACAGCAAAAGAAGGGCAACGGGGTTTTTTTTGTTTGTTTTTTTTTTTTTTTTTTTCAATTGTAACTAAAATGCTACCAGAGCAGAGGGTTGGCCAAGGTCTGTGTTATGCAACTGTATGCAGATCACTGTGAATTGCATCGTCCATCTAGCTCAGTGATGCAGCACCAAGGTCACTGGGCAGTTTGAAGCTAATGATGAGACCATAAGTCTAATAAATGTGCTCGGTGATCACAGCAAACATATTGCCATTGTCGCAGATGTTATTCTTTCAAAAGCTCTTGSCAAACAACTAAAACACAGCCCTTGCTTTGACCTCTCCTAAGAATGCACCATCAGGAACATTGAGGAAATGAGATTTTTTTAAGAAGACAAGTCATGGCCTACAGCTTCAAAATTGGCACTCACTCTTGCAGATTGCTTAGAATAAACAGGTAAGAGGCTAACTGAACATGAATCAGTGAAATTTTGACATAGAGTAGATTTTTCAAAGGAGCATATCCATGAGTGATATCAACACATGTAGAGATCCATTTCCTATCACAATGATCCAGGCAGGTTGACATCATGTCTGCAGTTGATTTTTGTAGCCATTTTGCTGCAGTAACCCATTACTTGCTGATCCAGTAAACTTTTGTCATCTTCCAGGAAATACATTAACCAGTAAATGCATTATTTCACCATGAGATTTGTCATTATGTGCAGTGATTCCCCAGGATTTATCAGAGGCTGCAATTGCTAATTTCTTTGGAAGGATATACATCATCTCCCAGGCTGAGTCAACCGATTGCTGATATTATGCCCTGAAAAAGAGTCAATCTGGTGTCCAGAACTTGTTGCATCTCCAGTGCATGGCAACCTATTATCTGTATGCATATCTTTATTTTTACATATGTCTATRTATATCATATATTCTTATGTACATCATGTATTCTTACCTGCCAGGCATGAAGAAGGTCACAATAGCSTGACCACTAAATATGATCTTGACAATAAGGGACAAAAAGGAAATTTAAAACAGCCACAATTTATTGAATTTTCTTCATTTGTATCCATTATTGATAGGAATAAAGATGAGTAATTCAACCTTACTGAAAAATTCACTTAAGATCATTCAATGAACAGAAAATGCCAGTATGTGAAGATGGCTGTTTGGAAGGCTSTGAAATGAAGTGGTGGCACGAGAGGTTTAAGTCAAGCCACAGAGCTGCCTTTTCTCATTCTCAAATGACGTAAGCAACACAGGCATGAAATGAGGTCACTGTTTTGTATATAAGCCCTCTGTGTCTTCTAAGCTAAAAAAAAAAAAAAAAAAAAAAAAAAAGTAGGAAAATATTGCCCTTTGCTAATGGAGCTTTTTCACCAGGAAGTACAGCATGTGTCCAATTCAATGTGGCAGCAGCTTTCCACCCTCAATTCAGCTTACCAACAGTTAAACCATGCAAGGTCTATATTATAACCTATTAGAGATGACATGTGACAAGATGATTTTTGATGAGGAGTAGAACTGTGGTACTACAGAAGTGACCAGGGAAAAGAGGCCTCTGGATGCAACCTGACATTTTGTCAGCAGCTGCTAGTCAGATATAACAATTTTATTGCCCTTGCACAGTCAGCCACCTGCTATAGTTTCCTCTCACTCAGAATATGTTCACTTTCATACCCTCCTGCATTTAGTTGCAGCAGAAGAGMAAAATGTTTATATTACAGCAGAATGCTGCATGCTTGTATCTAAGGGTGACCTTGAGTTTTCCTGTGTCACACACAAAAAGTGCAGTAGAAGGCAGGCAAGCACTTTGTCTCCTACACCTCTGCCCTACTGCCTCTGTACAACACTTAAATCACCCTTTGAATTAAAAGAAAGGACATAATTAAGTGCCCATTTTTGCATGTGAATGCACATTCAGAATTGAACTTCCATGTGCATGCCATGAAGAACAAAAAACCAAAGACAGATTAGARAACATCACTCTCCAAAACCATAATTATTTTTCCCTTTATGCTCTGAAGCTCATTTGTAAGTCTCATAAATTTTTTTTAACTCTTTGGGGTGGAAAACATTAACCAAAAATCAGTATGTGACCTGTTACTACTTCATAATCCTCTTTCTCAAGTTGAAAGTAACAGTTTGCGGGGCTTGTACTTCCATGGAAAGATATGAAGGAATTAAATATGATGGCCCAGGCAAAGGAAAATACAGGAAAGCTAGAACGTGTTGGGAAAGCCTGTCCAGACAGTCAGAACAAGAGCTTATTACCAAATATACACGTTTTAAACTGGTCTTAGATCAAAATAACATTTATTTTTGATGAATTAAGTTTGTGACAGTGACCATAATATTTTTAGATTTAGGAGCTACACACAAAGAGTAACATGATCAAAAGCATCACCATAGCTATGCTGACCTTCAGAAAGAAGAGCTAGGTTAYGATGAGGAATCTTGTTTCAAAGAAGTAGAAGGACATCTAAGAGAGTTACACCCTCTCAGTCAGCACAGAGACTCCCAAAGGAAACCCTACTGGGAGCACAGCACCAGCATGTACCACTRACTGGAAATCTCTTGGGAACAGCTACAAGGAAATTGGCACAGGTAAACAGTAAAGCAAAAGAAGTCACTGGAATTAAGAACTTAGCATTCAAAATTATGAAGATGCATCTTAGTGAAGAAAAGGAAGAAGTTACAAATTCTAAGAGAATAAACATAAAACTATWATTAGATTAACAATTGCTTTGTAGATGTTGTGGCAAAATTTCAAGGTGTTCATTTTCCCCATAAGTAATTTGACTTGCCTATGACATCAAATGACAAATTGATGGCTTGATTCACTGGTTCCCCTGCCATTCATATCGTGCAGATCAGGATGAGAATGAATATAAAGTACTGCAGAATAAAGCCATTTTTTACTTGTTTTAGACAGTATGTATTGCAATGGGAAGTACAAGACAAAAATGGATCTAAGTGTTTCTAAACCATCTTTTTGAGCTCCACGACTAGTTCAGCCATATGAATCTTTCCCCATTCAGACATGAGAATGCCATTAATGCATGGTAAATCAAACTGCCTGATCTTTCTATCCATCCTGCAGTCACTTGACATGTTTATCTGTGCTTTATTACTCTCAGATTTGCTCCCTGATACAGCAGGGCCAAATCTGTCATGTTTGCAATTGCTGATCCTCCAAATTCACATGATCCCCACTTACATGCAACTAGATCCTGCCTAGTTATAGCCACAATTTGCTCCAGGGCCATGACCCCAAGAAACTATCTGTTCCTGTTTTTGTAGCCTTGCAATAAGGAAATGGAAAAACACAGCATTTTTTCCATAAATGAGTTGTGATTTTTAAAAGAATTGGCTAAGTATACATTACCTTTTGTTTACTTCTCATGACCTCTAGTCTGAACTCCACTGGAATTCAGTAAAATGCATTCCAGAATGGCTTGCATAAGACTTCTTAAATAAAATCCCAAATATGTCAGCAATGGGAAATATTTTYACCCAGGACTCTTTCAATTCAGAAAGAGAGTCACTAGCTTGAGGACAAACTGATCATCTATTTTTACCTCTGACCTGGAAAGGATTAGGAACACAATTACTTTCATGAATTCTTGAGCAGTTTCGCCATACTAAGCTTCTGCATAAATGCTTGCAGCATCAGGACCCTCCATCCCAGAATCACAACCTCTCTATATAGAGAGAGAAATATTTTGTAAACAATTCCCCAAAGAATTCAAAACAATCAATAAATTGAGTATAGTCAAGATCAATGGAATATGCATCAAGAAGACAGAAATCCTAAGATGATGAAGAAATAATTTGCTGCCTTTTATTTCCTTCACATTTCCATTTATTTCATCTATTTACATTCCCTAGTTCTTTATACGCATACATCCATTTTCTCTTCCACTTCATGCTTAGATTTTGTTCATGTTGTGACTGCACAYATCTCCAATTCCTCTCGATGGCTTGATATTTCCAATACCATATTTTAAAACATCAGGTTGTGCATTCTGTKCTTCATTGCCATTATAAAAATGTTTGATTCCTTTAAAACTAAAAGCAGCAAATAGATTTTTCAGAGGCAGATAAAATTATGGAGGTTTGTATTTTGCTTGTTCAAAAACAGTTCTGCCTTTCAGAAAACACTTTTAGGAGCTGCCTCTACTTTGTGTGGTGATATCCTGCAGTTACATCAGGTTTTGGTTTAGTGAAAAATTTAAAATATAATTTACTTTGCATTAAAAACAGTACAATCGTGTTTTGGACAGCAATACTTCTTTAAAAAAAATAAACAAACAAACAAAAAAAMCCCAAAAAACCCTAAAAAACCCTAATAAAACCCAAGAAGACATTCCGAGGTTCCTTCAGTTGTATCAGCCTGTTCCTGGCCTATTCTTCAGTGTCACAGAGCACTGTCACTAAGTCTTCTGTAACAAAAAAACCCAAACTCACACATATAAATTCTGGATATCAATTAGTAATAACATAAGATGGCAAGCAGTGCTTTTTAAAACAAATATGAATTTTCACTTGATTTATTATGTCCATTAAATATTTACATAATTGCATTCTAGTAACCTAGTTACTCTCTAGGTAAGGTATTATATTATAAATACTCAGAACAAAATTTTTATTTTATTTCTTTTTTTTTCACTATTACAACCTTCTCAATACAATTACTTTTCTTTCAGCTGTAAGACTCTCAAAACACCATTATTTTGAGGCCATCTACATGTTATCTTGATTTATTTCATTATCAGCCATTAGGAAAAAAAACCAGTAAGTCATAGACTCTAATTTTGTTAATGGAACTTAATGCAACTCTAGGCAATGTGAAACTAAGTAAATAACCCCTTGCCCCTCCAACAACTGTGAACAGACTGTAAGAAAACTACCAGAAAGTACATCTCAGAAAACTGTTAGAAGTGCAAAAAGTCCATAAAGTAGAGCACACGGGTATGCAATCAGGAGCTGCTGCCCTTCCATAGCCAATGCAGAGGTAAAAATTTTGGAGGCTGACAAACTGCACCATCCAATAATAAACAGAGCCAACACAGTTCCTGGGACCCCCCTAGAAGAAAACAAAACACAGAAGAAACATGACAGACTCCATGTCATTATATGTAGCATCAAATCTTGCCAAACTCAAGTTCATGTCTAGCAGCRTATTCTTAAGGTAACAGCAACTGGATGAACCAAGAACTGACTGACATAATGAAAGTCAACCATAAAGCAAATTAAATTTGTAACCATAAACAAAAAAGTAATTTGTTCAGCATGGATAAAAGCTGCATCAGATGTATTGCTGAGTGGACTGTACAGATGCAGCAGATGCAGCTGCTAAGGTTTAATATTAAAGTTAGCCAATTTTCTATTTCAGAAATCATCTTATAGAAATAGTTAGGTTCTAAAATGACAGTACAGACCTACTCTTACACCAGGAAGCCTGGTGATCTGGAGGGGTTTCATTTTTGTAACACAGAGAACAGATGTTAAGTGTGCCTTCGACTCTGAGGGGAGGCTCTGGAAGACTCACACCAGCTGGATGGGCAGAAAGGTGTCCCAGAAAAAAAGCTGGATTGGCTTTTTAAAAAAAGAGAGCACACTAAGTACAAAATAAGGAGTGGGAAAATAACCACCAAGGAAAAATATTTTGCTCATCTTGGCAACCTTCTCTGTACACTGAAAGGACCATGACTTTTTACCCTATCTCTTGGTGACTGCTGGGCCCTATTGAGGTCATATTGGAGCACCTTTCAGGAGCAGGGTGGCCTGCAGAGCTGATGATTAGGGGACTGTGGTTAAAAGCCCACTAAATATTCCTGCAGATTACAGAGGGCTCACTATCAAACCCCATGGGAACAAAATCTTGCTAATAAATAATGTTTCACACATGCTTTACTTGCACTTTATTTGCAGCCTGGTTCTGTAAAATGCATGAGATCATGTGCATAATACACTGCTGAAGTACATAATGAGATGGCTGCTTTGCACACTTTTGCTGTGTCAGTCTCAAGGACTTTGAGAGGGAATAAACCTCTGCCACTTCCAAAAGGTCTTCCTGGTGCCCCAGTCTTCAAAAGCATCAGCATAACAGAACCAGAAGGGATAAACAGACTGTGTTTGCTTACTCAGGTAGCTCCTTTTATCAGAAATCATCTCCACTAATATCATTATTGCAACCAAACCATGCTGAATAAATCCTTATGCAATTGACTTAATGCAATCACATCACATAAAMTAATTCAATTCCTACCAATCTAGTCACCAGGACAATGAGATACTTGGTGTTGCCAGCTCTTGAGCCTTTGAGGAAGAAAGGAAAGAATTGATTTTATGGTGACTCAGCACCTCATTGCAACTTCAACAAGTTAAAATAAAACATTAAAGACCACAGGATTTAATTTACTTAGTTCAAGTGTTCTTAAAAATTCTATAGTGGAATTCAGGGAAATTCCATTGGGCTTTGTAAAGCAAGTTCCTGGCCCCTTCTCCAAGGACAGATGTCAAGCTGCTCACCCGAACAGTGAGACAGAAGCTCAGAGCTGGTCTGGGTTGGTCTTTGAGCAGGTACCCATGCTGGCAGAGGGATGGGATGCAATAGAAACATACTGTGAAATGACAATTTTCAGTTAGCATAATGACCCTTTAGGGGGCTATCACGATTTAGAGCTGTGGCTGCTCTGCTTTGCACTGAAGTCAAATGGCCTCTCATGGTTTGTTCCAGGACTGGAAAACAGCAAGATGGAAAGGTGACTTAAAATCATATTGGAATTAAGAGATACCTCTGTGCACTTACTAATTCTATCCTCGATCTAACAACGTGCTGCTGCCAGAAGGAATTGTTTGGCAGAGAGCTCGTGTCTGGCATTTCCATGAGGGTCAAATCCTCTCCCATGGGAGAAGGGCAAAGGGCAGATGTCATGCTTGCAGTGACCAAGAGGGCTGAGGGCTTTACTGGTGTGAGATTGAGGAGGAGAAACATTTGTGATGGTCCCTTTCCACCACTCCCTCACATCCTGCAGGTGCTGTCACCAAATAGGTCCTTTGCTTTAGCTGGGTCTAAGACTCTTTCTCCATGCTTGCATACATTTGCTTTGCTGTTTAGTTAAGGAAGCTGCTTTACTGCCCTATTTGGGGATTTGATATTAAAGAATTGTTGTTGTTTTCTGCAGGAAAAAAARTCTATTGATGTTTATCCCAGAAAGATGACCTAATAAACTTGGGCTCATAGATGGGCACAAATAAATCCAGTTCCACCCAAGTTCCAACCAAGAGAACTGGTTTTCTCCTTAGTACTATTCAGTACCTCAAATGTTCCATACTTTGCTTTATTTAGTTACAGAGCAATAGCTAATCATTAAAACTGAAAAGTATTTGATTACTATGTATCCATGCCATAGATGAGTGCATTATTTCATGTATACTTTTGGTGAAAAAAAAATTCAGGTTATTTCTTTGAACTTTTAAATAGAAACAATGTTTTTATAAATATTTGAAAAAATCATKAATATATTGATGCCTTTTCCTTCCCACTTTAAATAGGTTAAATAGTTTTAAAAATGAAAGATAATGAAATGTATATTGGATTTTAAAGTTGCTACTTAATTTTAATAGCATATTTGCAATAGTTAACCTGGGTACTTGCTGTGTTCAAGCAGTTTCATATACCAAATGAGGAAGGACTGCAGAATCCTGTCAAGAAGTACTTAAAGTTATCAATTCATTTTAGAAATAACAATTTAATTTTATAAAAGCTGTCACACTGTAGTACTTACAGATTTTCAAAGTATGTGCTTTCTGTAAATTCACAGCATTTTACAAATATGTGGTGTGTGCTTCGGGATTCCTTGCACAGATAATAGTACCCTGCACAGTTGTAACAGCTGGTTTGGAATTCACCCCATCTGTCTTACTATTATGTCTGCACATTTTATTAGGCTGGATTATTAAACAGGTTAATCAAGAAAATATGGGAAGTGTAGGAGAACAGAGAATAAACAGCTTYTTCAGTGTCACCATCATCCATCTTATCAAGGACAGCTCAGAAACCATTTCATACATAGAATATGTTCACAGAAACATGCAACAAGAATTTTGCCAAAGTTTTATTCCACCACATAATTTCCTTTAAAAAATTAAATTTATATATATACACATATACATATACATATACATATACATATACATATACATATACATATATATATACACACACACATATAAGAATTCTGCTTTTCCAAAGAAAAACAGGGATACTTTCTTGTTCATCAGCTGTTAAGTTTCATATGTTAGCAATTGGAGAGTTAAAAATATGAGAGAAMAACAAAAACTAAGGAAGAAAACCGTCATTAATAACATGTTAACAATGGGTAAAAGAACTGCTCGAGGCCTTCAGGCAAGATCTGTAACTTGCTTGTACTTTGCTGTATGGGAACAGGGAGATTAACACTGTGTCTCAAAGGGCTTACTGAAGGAGGAGGAATGAGAAGATTGCCAAAAAAGTTTCCTATTCATAGGATATGACTGAAGAATTTCTGACATGTGCACAGATAAATACACCACTACACATTTCGTTTYTTAAAGTATTCAGTTTTTTTCAGATTTGCAATTGCACCATAACTATATCTCAAAATRTACAACCCTGCTATATCTCAAACACTTGTTCTAATTCTCCATATCATTAAGGGTTACTTGGCTACTTCATTTTGTCCCTCAGAAGTCAGTAGGAAAGGAAMCATAAAGATGGGAGGCCTGATGCTGTGAACAAAAGGCAACAGGAGAACGAGCTATAAAAACCCAAAGTTCAATAGTTGCTTTTAAAACTGAATTTACTCAATACTTGAGTTTGGCCACTGTTGGCTCAGCAAAACAAAAATCACATCTGAGGCTTCTGCAATAAACAACAGCACTCCCAGTCCCAGTGGAAAGCAGWGGAATTAAAGACTCATATCAAAATGAATGTGCATCAGCTGTCTCAAYACAGTCGAGTTTTTCTGTTTCCACATATACACCTAAACGAAATGGTGTTTTGCCTTACAGTTTCAGAAGCAAATTTCATTATGTGAACATTTAYAAAAGGTTTTGTGCAACATCAGCCACCTGACTTACTGCCCTTGCTAGGATTCCTGTTGCCGCAGAGCGGTACTTACTGCAGTGAGAAGATGACAGCAGAGGAGGACAGGATCACCATGGGCAGCAGGCAGTAGCCCAGGACACTCGCCACGCAGCCGTGAGAGACGCCCGACACGCTCATCAGGTTCAGCAGGGCGTGCATGGCGAGGCACCCGATGATGCTCATCCCGTACACGTAGCCAAAATGAACTTTTCCTGCCTGGAATAAATACCAGCAAGCRTGAGGTGTTGGCAGTGAGCAGTGATCATAAGTGCTAGGAGGAGACAGAATGAGGTTTAGGTTTGTTACTTGTTGTTGTTGACACTCTGTTGACACTCTGCCTCACCCACATCAGTTCAGTTGTGAACCACAGCCAGTACTTTTGGGTGATTTTTGCATAAAARTAATTGCAAGGTGCAACTGAGAAAACGTGCTTGTCACAAAGTTACAAGGCTGATTCTGAATCTTACTGTCATTGGGCTCTGAATACAACAGGAATTGGTTGGGAGACTTGGGAAAATATAACTGGCAACATAGAAGAAATTATGGAAAACACATTTTAGTCATTGAAAATCATTTTAGTCTCAGGAAACAAATTTTCAATAAATGTATATCAGGCTGAGAAAAAATGCCCGAAGTAATATGATGACCCAGGTTGCCTGATGTGATTCACATTTTATTACAAACCTTCAGCTTTAAGCAGTTCTGCAAAAAAATAGAAAAATTTGTTTAAACTATGCTGGTTTTCAGGGTGAATGTGACCATTCTTCCCCTTGACTACCATGAGAAAGACACATCTCTGTGCTTAGATCAATGCAACATGTTCATTTCAACATTAACTTGAGTTGTAACTGTCAGCTTGTGTTCTTTTTTTGTTCTAACAAATGAAAACATCCCAGATGTTTTTTTTCTTCTAGATTTTATTCCTTTGTTTGAATTTATTGCCTCTGAAAGGTACCAGCCTGGCAGCCTGGAGCTTGATGTTTTCTAATTTATACACAAAGCTAGTAAGACAGGCAACTGTGGCCACACCACCACCGATTCCTTTATCTCCTGCCATCATTTTGAAGGATCACCTCCAGGCATAAGGGCATTGTTCACTCCCCAAAATAAACAGTCACAGAAGACTGTTAAATAGTTTTCTTCCTTCTCTTCAAAGTTCTAACAAATTAAATACTGAATGTTGGCTATGCAACATTTTCACATCTGTACACCAGGGAAGCATTCATAAATTAGAAATAAACACTTTATTTTTTTCTTGGAAACATTGTTGGAGCTTTTATCATTTTTTGTGACATTTGCTAGTATATATCCCATGATGGCCCAGGAGGACTGAGACGACCTGTGACTTGAYTTATCCATACAATTTAATGAAATCTGGGGGAAATCAGCTTTCAGGACCTGCTTTTTCTGCCCTCTCTTCCTGTATCCCTGCATGAGGAAACTGATCACTGGATTCCAGCAGTGTCTGAGATACAGAGCAACACAGTGGAGAAGGCCTTGCCTAGTGATGACACAACTGAAAGTSCTGATGCTGCAGGCTGGTGGCAGCTCACCAGCTCTCGTTGGAGGGCAGTGCTTACACGAAGGGCAGCCGGAGTCAATAAGACCTGACTTTGCATCAGCACCGTTACCCTGCCTGCAGCTTGACCTGGCTCACTGCTGAGCTCTCCTCTGCTCCCAGTCCTCAAGGTTAAGGCAGGTACAGCCAGGTATCCTTCCAGAACCCTGAATGCTGGCCTTTTCCCCATTACTGTTTTCCACCATAAGGAATAAGAAATCCACCTATTTAGGCACAAAGTCCTTGGCTGGCATTTATTAGCATCTACTGGTATAAATGTATCAGGAAAAAGTGCTTGAACAAATAAAATTATTGATAGCTATAGATAGTATGGAGACCGAAGCAAGCTTAGATGATTATCAATTAGAATTTCAGTCATTAAGGATATGCAGTAAGTTTAACACTCACAATGATGGGGGGCAGCCTTTGCTATAGACCAAGTAAAGCTCTGTCTCAAATCAGATGCATCAACTACAAGCTATATTTTAGACTCTTTTAATGTATTTAACTCTTCCACACGGCAGTATTTATTAGCCTAATTTAAGATGAAGAAATTCCTGAGCCAGAGATGAAGGGAGCACTAGAACCATCAGATAACTGAAATCTCTGCTTAGTGAAATGTTGGATTATGGTGCAAGGATATGAGAGAAGGAAAAAAAAAAATAAAGCAGCTGAACATGTTGGTTCCGATTTTGTTCTTACTTAACATATGTAAATATATTGACTCACACACATGGGAATACTCCCAGTTCACAGTGATGTAAGCAAAACCAGAATCAGGCTTGATTAGTCTGACAGGCTTTGATGAATGGAAAGAGCTAAATTTGTCCTGCGGAAGGAACAAGGTTAGGAGAAAGTCAGACTTGATGCGCTTGTTTCATCTGCCTGGAGTGGGTACTACCACCTTTAGCTGAAGAGGATGAGGAAGTCTGATTTCATACAAATGACAGTGAGAAATGCAAAGCAGCTGAGACACGGGCTTCTGCTAAATTTTGTGCTGCTGTTGTTTCTCTGTTTATAGTGGGGCTGCCCTGTTTAAAACTAAAATGAGGAAGAACAAGTCCTGCTGCCAGGCTAGCAGCCCTTTCCCCTTTTTCTCTGAAAGAACTGATATCCTTTGAAGAAYATATTTGCATAATTTTACATAGTTAAAAAGCTGAAACTAAAGAAAATGTATACATTATTTTTGGAAACAAGATCTCAACCAAATTATGTTCCTGGTGCTATCAGAAGATACTTATTCAAGTGCAGAAGGATATCATAGTTTACACAGCTGAAGAGACACATTAGTGYTCAAAAGCGTCTGAGATAAAATGGTTGCCTGAATTTCTAAGATAAACCCATAGACTTACTGCTGTGAAGTTAGGGCACAAAAACACTGGATTGTATCAGAGCTGTTCTGCTGCCCTAAAACTGGAGCATTGAAAAGTCTTGGTTTTCTAATGACACTTCAAGTGCGCAATATCCCAGAAAAAGTATGATAATTAAAGTAATTTATTTCAATAATAATGGTTTAATATTYATTATAATTGTTGGCTATTCAGGGAGAAAAATCAACAGGAAACAATTTTTTCCATTCTTTCTTTTAGCTTTCCTTCCATTTTTTAAATTATAATTGATTCAACTTTTTCTTTTTAGTGCCCTCATACCTTTATTTCCCCAGGTGGAAAATAGCCTGTCTTCTCTAGCTTTAACCTTCTTTTCCTTTTATTCCTTTTTCCTCCTACCCCTTCCACCCTTTTAAAATATTTTTATAGCGACATAAATAATAATACTACTTGCCATTTATATTGCAGCTTGCACATTCAAGGTACTGCACTGACTTTACAAATTGAGTAAGTACTTTCAAGAATCTTCTGATTCAGCACTATTTATCACAGAGGAAATGGAGAATTAGAGCCCCTTTCCTTTCATCTCTGTTGCAGAGCAGTAAAGCCCTTCTCAGAATAGTCCCACCTTATCCCCGTCTGATGAATTGCTGCTGGCAATCAGAGCTGTACTTCAGCAACTCTGGAGAGCTCCTGTTGCCAGTGGAATAGAGATAAATTTGGAGTTCAGTACAACCCCGTTAAACTTGTCTCCTGTAGGAAAGCTCTATTCATAAAGAAGGRGGTCAAACACAGGCTACTATATTTTGTTAAGTGGATGATATAGAACAAAGAATATAAAATAAGAAAGAACTAGCAAAATTTATAGGAAGGTATGGCAATTTTAAGGGTGGAAAGATGACTGTTTCCATTTCTTTTTTTCCAATTATTCGATCTGTATAAAGATTTCTTTCATATTCATATCTCTGGACTCTCTAAAATAACATTGAAAGAAGATAATGTCAAAACAAGAGCAAGAGTGTTAGAAAAACTGGGCTGGCCTGCTATGCCTTTTTATTCCCTCCTTTGAAACCTGTTCAGAATCTCTCCAGATTATATATRGCATAGATCTGTCCCTTGTTCATATTAAATCCCATCCCAAAAAAGGAGTCTCTTCTTTCCACTGGAAGTAATACATCACTCTACCTGTGTCACCTTTACATTACGCCTAAACTTTATGCAGGTACTTTCAGAGTAAGGACACWTTTTAATACATAATCTCAGAACAACTGGCAGTAAATGAGTCATTTTATGCCGGTGCTACATTTTCTGCAACTTCACACTCATTATCACCTAGGCATTAGCTTGTGAGAAAGAAACCTCTGAAGATTTTTACCACATCCTACCATCAGCAATGTTGCTCCGAGGGCCAAACAGAAAACCATAGGTCCAGTGAGGTCTGTCTCATTCATGATGCTGCCATCTGCAGGCTTCATCGGATTTAGAACCGTTAGTGTTTTTTGCCATATGTGCTCGAAATTGATCCCAAGCTCTGCAACAAGAAATTTCMGGGTTTGTAATTGCTCACAAGAAGACAACACTTTCACAAAAACCCATTAGATACCACAAAACTACAAAYAAATGCTTCAATGAAGAAAATACCGTACAGGATGACATATTCTGTACTAGGAACATATTGTTCCTGCTATATACCCAGTATGTCTGAGAGTCAGCTTTGATTCTAAATTGGAATAATTATTTATTAAACCAAATTTTAGGTGGTGAACCAAAARTGCATTCAGCATTTTTTGAGTTAATATTTGTTTTTCCTATATTTAAAACACTGATATCTAATGCCATACTAACTTAGATGTTRAAAAATATGTAAACTGACAGTAACTGCAGAATTTAAGATCCTCTAGAGCACTGAGGACAGAGATATATTCTTTAATTCTGGCAAATCTGATGAGAAATGTGTCTTATATCTGAACTGCTAAAAGCACTTAAAAATGACATTTGTCCCATCAAGCCAAGTTAATACTATTTTGTACAGTGCTTTACAAGCTTGGGGTTTGGGGG